CTCGGCACACATTTCAAGGACAAACTTCACTAAGCACATCCCTTGCTTGTGGCCTAGCGACCAAATGTGAGGCATTTGAGTATTTTATTTGGTCATGGATCTTGATAATGTCTGAATCCCTTTCCTCTCTACAACTGGCCATTCTTTGGCTATAAAATGATTTTCAATCAACTTGAAAGTAAAAAGACAAGTTTTCATCATTTGGGTGCTGCCAGAGGAATATTGCTTTTCTGAGAAGAAAAACCCTTTAAATTATACTGTGCGTGATGAGAAAATGTTTCTCATTAGAAGTTTCCTTGTGACTGAGTGGAGACAGACCCATCTTAGCAAACGACTTGTGCTCCAACAACTGATCAGGATGTTCCAGGTTAGATTAGGCAAATACAGCTTTCCTTATTCATTGTACAGCCCAAGAGAGGTTTAACTGAGAGAGAAAGGGCTGGAGGAGGGAGGCCCTGATGGCGTAGCAGAGGTGAAACATGTTAATGTGGAACCAGGTCAGGACTGAGTCCTTGTGACTGTACCTGCTGTCACTCAGCGATTTAGGGCAGAGCTACCCCCAGAGCAAAAAACCCGAAACGTTTCTTTCCCTTGAGGAATAATCCAGCTTAAGAATCTGAATGTACATCCCTCTGACGCTTTCTGACAGCTTACCATCCTCAAGGGGAAAACTAAATCGGATTTAGTCCTTGTTCTCTGTCTGCAAATACATTTCTTCTCTGTAAACTGGGTTGCTGGGCCACACGCTGACTTGTAAAATGAGGAACTTGGCAACAGTGTCTCTTCTTGTGTGGGTCCCTATCCAGCCACCTCTCTCTCCCTCCCTCTTTCCCTCTCAGCTTCCTTCCTTTGCTCCTTCATTCACTCTCCCTTCCTCTCTCTGATAGAAACCCACCTCTCCCAGAGTTGACTTGTTCACTTACTGAAAATACAGTTTTCTGAATGCCTACTATGTGGCCAGACACTCTTTTAGATTTTGGTGACTTAATGGCATATAGAGAAGACCGAGTTTCTACCCTCACAGAACTGACTTTCTAGAACTCTCTGAATTTTGCTGAATCTTGGCTCTTCCATTGCTAGCTTTGTAACTTTGGAGTAAGTTATCTAGCCTCTCTGTGCCTCATTTTCCTCATCAATAGGGACAATATTGGTATTTATCTCAATTGGTCTTTTTTTTTTTTTTTTTTTTTTGAGACGGAGTTTCACGCTTGTTGCCCAGTCTGGAGTACAATGACGCGATCTCGGCTCACTGCAACCTCTGCCTCCTGGGTTCAAGCGATTCTCGTGCCTCAGCCTCCTGAGTAGCTGGGATTACAGGCATGTGCCACATACTGGGCTAATATTTTTATATTTTTAGTAGAGCGGGGTTTCTCCATGTTGGTCAGGCTGGTCTCGAACTCCTGACCTCAGGTGATCCACCTGCCTTAGCCTCCCAAAGTGCTGGGATTACAGGTGTGAACCACAGTGCCGGGTCCTCAGTTGGTCTTTTTTAAAGATAAAATGAGGTAATACAGGTAAAGCACTTAGAAACAGTATGTGTGGTTCAGGGCTAGTGCACAGGGCATACTGATATTTTTATTGATGCTGCTTGTACTATCATCACATTCTTCCTCTCTGAGGTGCTTACTGTTTCATCATTTTCCTGGTGACCTGAGAGAACGCTTGCATTGATGCCTCATTTTCAGGACCAGGGAGAAAGCAGAAGCCCTCTCAGAAAATGCTCAGGGAGCAGCAGTTGTGAGCATAGCACGTGCCTGTTCAGTGGAAGTGCATTATCCAAACATGTTGTAATGTAGTCATTCAGGGTCCTGCCAGAAAAAAGGAGAACCAACTCTTTTTATATTTAAAGAAGGGCATGAGAAAGAAAAGATCAAAGTGAGCTTAAGGGGTCAGGCGCAGTGGCTCATGCCTGTAATTCCAGCACTTTGGGAGGCCGAGGCAGGTGGATCACTTGAGGTCACGAGTTCGAGACCAACCTGGCCAACATGGTGAAACCCCGTCTCTATTAAAATAAAAAAAATTAGCCAGGCATGGTGGCATGCACCTGTAATCCAAGCTACTCGGGAGGCTGAGGCAGAAGAATTGCTTGAACCTGGGAGGAGAAGGTTGCAGTGAGCCAAGATTGTGCCCCTGCACTCCATCCAACCCGGGCGACAAAGCAAGACTCCATCTCAAAAAACAAAACAAAACAAACAAACAAAAAAACCACAAAGAGCTTAAAGGACACTTTGTAAGTTGAGCATCTCTATTCTGAAAAATCCCAAATCTGAAACTTTTTGAGCACGGACAGGTTACCCCATGTGGAAAGTTCCACACCTGACCTCATGGCATGGGTTGCAGTCAAAACTTTCTTCATGGACAAAATTATTTAAAATACTGTATAAACTTACCTTTAGGCTATGTGCATAAGGTATATGTGGTGCATAAATAAATTTTGTGTTTAGACTGGGTCCCATCCCCAGGCTATCTCATTATGTATGTGCAAACATTCTAAAATCTGAAAATATCCAAAATTCTAAAAACATCTGGTCTGAAACATTTCTGATAAGGGATCCACAGACAGTGCATAGATCCTGTGTACAGTGGCAAAGTCAGGTCTATTGCTTTTTCAAAGAACAGCACAGCCTCTTTCCCTTATATTTGTACTGAACATCTTGAAGGAAGTACAATCTTCTCTGCCTTCTGCTAGCCCATTTCCCAGCACTTTCAAACTCTTTGATATTGCTGAATGAGATAAATCATTTCAGATATTTTTTCAGATATACCAAATTCTACCTTGGCAGTGCCCCTCTGTCCTGTGAGCCTTGCAAGTGACTTTACTGGTTTCTGACAAGGACCATGATGAATCACTAGCTTGGGGTATCTTGTGTCTCTTCACACTATTGATTTTAGGAAAATACTTTCTGCAGCTTGCAAAACCATAATGTCATTTGTCCTTAGAACATCACTGTCCGAAGAAGAAACAATCATCATGCTGTAGCCATACATTAAATAAATGATATACTTCTTAAAATAAAAAGTGCTTAAAAATCTTTTTTTAACACAGAAGAAAAGTAAGTCCTACTTTTTCCATTACTTTGCTTCTTGATAAAACTCTAGATATAGTTTACTTTTAAAACTATGTATTTTTATTTATTATGATTGTTATTAAACATTATAACTTATTGCATAGTTAATTCCTATTTTTGTGAACCAATACTGTTATACAAAGAAGTGTGTACTTTTTTTAACCTAACCTTAGTTTTTGTTTCTAAGCTGGTATTTTTCACAAGTCAAAACAGTCCACTCAAGAAATAATAGACATTGGAGACTCAGAAGGATGGCAGGGTGGCAGGGCTGACAGATAAGAAATTACTTAATTGGAACAATGTATGTTATTTGGGTGATGGAAACCCTAAAAGCCCTATATCCATCTAACAAAATGCAACTTATACCTCCTAAATCTATAAACAATGTTTAAAAAGGAAATAAGAATGAAAGAAGAAAAAGAGTTCATTTTGAACTAGTGGAAATAATAGAAAGGAAAAGATTATTTTAAAAAATACCCTCGGCCGAGCGCAGTGGCTCATGCTTGTAATTCCAGCACTTTGGGAAGCTGAGGCGAGAGGATCACAAGGTCAGGAGTTTGAGACCAGCCTGGCCAATATGGTGAAACCCTGTCTCTACTAAAAATACAAAAATTAAGCGGGTATGGTGGCGGACATCTGTCGTCCCAGCTACTTGGGAGGCTGAGGCAGGAGAATCATTTGAACTCGGGAGGTGGAGGTTGCAGTGGGCTGAGATAGCGCCACTGGACTCCAGCCTGGGCAATAGAGTGAGACTCCATCTCAAAAACAAAAACAAAAACAAAACAAAACAAAACAAAACAAAAAAGCAACCCCCCCCCCACAAAAAAAAAAAAAAAAAGAAAAAAAAAAAGAAAACCCAACCAAACAAAAAACCCGTACAGTCCACTCAATGCTGAGGTGACAACTCCATTTTTGGTAATCTGAATGTGAATCTTTGACAAGGATGTTTTTAGAGATTATTTTGGTGACAACTGTTGTTTTCCTTTTATTCACATGCACACCTACCACCATTAAGACTTCCTCCCCCACCCCCAAAAATAAGCTTTAGCCCCTTTTCTATTATAGACTAGCTATGTGACTTGGAGCAGGTAATTTAGCTTCTGAAGGTTTTGTTCTTTTCATAAGTAAAGTGAAGAGTTGAACTTCATGATCTCTGCACCTATTGGATCTATTAAAATCTATTTTTCACTGTAATTAGAGTATTTGAGATTTGATAATAAAAGTACTAAAGCCTCCTCCAAAAGCAAGGCAGAAATCAGTTTCATTACTATGGGAAAGTAATTAAAAAGACCTCAACAATGAAATGCCCTTGACACTAAAACTAAACTCATCCAACTTAATTCTCCTGTGGTGCCTCCGAAGTCTTTTTGAAAAGCTTCAGGCATGGCTGGGAACACTGTCCTTCGTCAATGCGGACTCGATATTAGATCAGAGTCTCCCGGGATTTTTTCGTTCTTAATTCTCTAACTAAGTTCCAGTATCAACACATTTTCCTGTCATCTGCTTCTACCTCATCAAGTACAGCACAGAAAGAACAAAATAATGGTATTCAAGTATTCTGGTTACCAGAATTCTGGATTAAGGAACCTTTATTTTGTGGGTTCTATAAATGAGTGATTAATTAATGAGTGGTTAGGTTGTATTCGGAATTTTTTTTTTCTGGTGTTAAGGCAAGAGAGGATATTGAAGATATTAATCTATGCATCTGAGTACACTAAATTGGGGTGGAGTAAATGACATCTAGTTGGGGACCAAAGAAATTGCTTTATGCTGACTGAGGCTCCAGGGATTCCTTATAATGGGATTTTGTAATTATAAATCTTATTTCATTAAAAAAATTGCCCAACACTTTTTTTCTTTTTTTATACAGACTCTTTTATCCTCTACCCCAAGTATCAGATAATCACTGAGAACACTTTGTCAGCTTCTTACCTTGAAGAAGGTCATTGTTGATCCATCTCTGACCGCCCCATATTCTATCTTGGTTTGCTTTGCCAGATCATCTGCTGAATCTATGGGGGATTCCATTCTCTCTACTGTCAAGAAGGCAGCCAGATTGGCAGTGTAGGATGAAATGATGATTAGGGTGAAAAACCACCATATCCCTCCAACTATTCTGGTCGATAGAGCTTTGGGCATCAGCTCTGATCCTGTGATGGTATCATCAGAGTAAGGGTGTTAAACACAGTCAGAAGGAAAGGGAAGATGTACAGTTCGACACTATTCTAGGGAGATCAACCCACCAAAGACTTACCATCTTGTATGTAGATGAAATAAATACATTTTATAGAAAATGCATCAAAATCTAAAGCATTTTTTCAAATCATTAATCACTGCTGCTGCTTTAACTATAATTTATCAGTAGCTGATGGTATTAAAACAGTTTTAACCTGGAGACAGTCTATGTCTAAATTTTGGTTAGTTTAGTTTCTTAGAATTGAAAAGTCAACCCCAAGACTTTTTGCCTTTTATTACTGTCTAAATGCATCTTATAGTGTGAAGTAAAATATTCTATGTCTTTGTATAACTATGAAAATCTTCGAAATGCTAACATTTTTATTTAAGATTAAAGAATGAGAGCAACTTGCAAAATATTAATGTGCCATTTATCACATGTACTTTAATAAAACATTGAGATTTTACAAACAAAATAAGATGCAGCCATACTTGACAGTGGATGAATTAGTTTTTATTGTCTTATGTTATCCTAAAAGCTACAATTCTTTTTTCTGCTGTAGATTCTTATTTGGCTAAAAAAACACTTTCTCTGCAATGCATAATTTTGTCCTTCAATAAAATGCTGTTTCTTAACTACACTTCAAAGACAGGCTGTTTCTTAGGTGAAAGAAGACTTTCCTGGTAAGAATATACATTTTAGATGTCATTCAGATGATTTTAAATTATGTTTAAATGATAAGAGGCACTTAATGTGTTTACCAAGGAAACCTTCCTCTCTAAAAGAAAGGGTTTATGAGCTAAGTTTACTGACATAAAAGACAAACATCTTGAAAACAGTCTAGCTCACTTTTGCTCAGACTGAGCTGTGGATGTCTATACATTCAGCAGCAGAATTAGAATAAAAGAGAAGTACAATTAGAGTTCACTCCAGTTGTACTGATTCACAAGTGGATTTTGGCTTGTCCATCTGCCTGAAATTTGCCATTGATTCTGTACATAGCATATCCTCCACGAACCTGAAGGCATGACCGAGTTTATGTGACTAGAGAAAAAGTGAAAGAAACACACCCTAAATTAAAAATCCCAAAGAGTGAAGTACAGTAGGCCAGATGTCTGGACTATAGGATCGTTTTACTATACTGATAGGGTGTTTTGAAGCTCTGTAGTTAATAATGGCTTAAGATGGAAAGGAAAATTGGAGTTCACCAATCTACCAATAAATGAATTTGTGCTCTGGTTTAGTCTATAAACAGATGCACATACTGCTCAGGAAATCAAAGCTAGCTCAAGGACAGTGATAAGCAGATCAAGGTTGGCAGAGTTTCTGGGCTTTAAATTAACAGATATATTCTCCTAATGCTATTACATATCTTTGTGTTTTATTCCCTTTTAATGAGGGAAATGGTTTGACAGCGATTTGTGTTTCCTTCTGTCGTTTGTTTGAATTTGAGTGGGTAATATTACACAGACTTATAATAGTTTTCCATTAAATTGCCTCCAAGGATTTAGTGGAATGGTTTGCTGCTGTTGTTTTAATATTGTGGTTTAATGGGATTTATATGCCTGTGGGTGTGTGTGTGTTTAATGCCCAAGGTTGTTTCATATCTTTGTACTTAATTGATCTAGCAGTCTTGTGGCAATGTGATATTATTTTAGATCTTTAGTTGGTTATTAAAATACCATTTATTTCATAAAATAGCCATAGGAAATAAATAACAGTTAATAGATATATTTTTCTTAGCTTATAGGTGCAGATTTTCTGCTGTAAATTTATTCTTTTGTTATTTGGTTGCATTTATGAAAAGATAAGGTTTTCACTTATTTGTATAATTTGTATAATGTATTATATGGCATTAATACTGGACAGACAGGTGAACAATGGACTGTTGACATGTAATAATTCTAATTCACATCTTTCGCATTGTAGAATGCATATTTAAACTTTTGGATAAAGTTACCTTAGAAGCTTAGTAAAAATATTAATAGAAATGTATTGAGATTACATTTTAAACCCTTGTTAGATGGCATCCATTAGATTTCTCAATGTTTCTTGGTGTTTTCTATTTTTGTCTAATTTTGTGAATTTTATAATTCTCCATGTTAATTAGAAATGCTTAGAAACCACTTCTTTCAAGTAGAGAGGTTTTGTGTAAGTTTAGTACTCTAGAGGATGAAATTATACAAACACTAAAAGTTGAGTAAAACATTACTAGAAAATATTCAGGATGAGAGACAGTACTTGCTGAAGTCTCTTTAGTGCCTTTTACGGCAGACATGACAGCCAATCCTGATCCAGACTTTGCTCACGCTCTGTAGAAAAGAGAAAGTCTGATCATCACATTTAAAAAAAAAATTCAACAAAATGGTCTCCAATCGAGTACAGTGACAAGCTTCTGCTAACAAGAGAGCAACAGAGGATAACAACCTGGTTCAACACCACATGCATGCTAGAGACAGATGCACTGACAGTCACAAGTGCCTCAAGTTTGTACCTGGAAAGATTCGTTGCACCTGACAGATGTTTGTAAACTTCTTGAAAGACAAGCAGAGTCTGGTGGGGGCTGACTGTCATGTACCCAAGGTAGTGGTAACTAACAGACACTGCATCCCACAGTGTGCTGTGGATGATGGTAAACTCCAAACAGGTAAAAGATGAGAGATAAATTCCAGGGGTGGGTGCACTCATATGACAGAAGGCAGTCACAGTCATATACCTGCACAGGCCTGCTGCATGCTCTGTGAAACCTAAAAGTATATATATATATATATATATATATATTCTAATGTTGGAGAAGACAAGCTATCAGAAGGAGCAGGGGTCTCCTTCACTCTTAAAGTAATTGCTCACAAAGTAAGTATCCTAAAAATTAAATGCATGGGTGAAGCAGTATATGGGGTTTCCTGCAGGATTTATACCTCTGTGCTATGCCCTAAGTTTATGCAAATGATTTCTAGTAAATCAGATGGTATCTATACCTATTTAGCAGTGCCCACACAAACCACACTTAATTGTGTAACTAGGATTTTCCCACTTTCTTCAACTATTTACTATTTCAGTATTAGAATTTGGTATTTCTATAGTCTCTCTCTAATTTGAAGATCCAAAAGATAACTATTTCAAGTGTTATAGCAATTCCCTAATGAGAAACCTTAGGGTTCATCCCCAAGTAGCAAACATGTTTAATATATATCCCAGTGGAATTTTCCTTTGGCAATGTATTCTGCAGCTTATTGTCAAATGAGCAGATATTCCAAACACAACAGCTTCTGTGACTGATGATTTTCTTATATTAGTGCGTTTAATCCTGGAAGAATTTTCTATACCATATGCCTGGCACTGAAGCTGAAAAAAAATCACAAAATAAATGGAGTTCTTCCAAAAGTTAAAGCAACTTCCCCTTCCCCCACTACAAAAGCAGAATCACCCAATTCATAGGAAATGTATAAAATATATTACATTTCCATGGTCAAATTTTATTTCCCCAACTCCTACAGTTTATTGTTGCTATAGTTACCAATTGAGGGAGATTGTGAAAAGTTACTGGGAAGCTGAAATCAATCTCAGTAGGGTTTGGCAGAGTAGCAATTAGGTGGAAGTCCTAGGTAAGGTCAGCAATTGGAAGAATCTCAGTGGATTTAATCTGCAAAGGATTTAAATTCTGCCCCTTTAAACCTCTGACTCATGGAGTTACGGCTGAGAAGGAAAAGACCGTCATCTCCATCTATGCAAATTTGTAAACAATTTCTAAGGTACCTTATCTTTTGCTACCCACAGGAAAATTTGTATTTATTGCTTGATAGAAGTGTTATTTTAGATATATAGCAAAGGAGTTCCATATAGGTCATCGATTCGATTTTGCTTCATCTTCAGAACTGGCTAGAAAGTCTGTTGCTATTTTCTTAAGTTCCTGAGATGGTGTTTCATCCTACCCTCTAGCTTCATGGTGGAGTTTACCAGCATGAAAGCCTGTCAGCACACTGTGGGATGCGTGTGACAAAGATAGGCAACCGGTGTACCTTGCTGCATGAGAGCTCCAACTCCAAACCAGAAACTATTTAGTAAAGTAAAATTGTTTTCCACCACGTCTGAGTCAGGGTTGCATGGGTGGGGGTTATACCACTCGTAGGGTGTAAACCTGTGGTAGTTAACAGAAACAGTCTGTAAATATCAGAGAAACGCACAGGACACCAGCAAAACCAAAACCTGCTGAGCAATGCAGAAAACCCAACAATAATGACGAAAGCTTCAAACCAAAGGAGTAAAGGCCATAGTCATAAACTTACAGCTTTGGTGGGCAAAGTGCAAAGAGCCTTGAGACGTTAATATTTACCAGACTTCTTATTTCTAGGCAAATTGGTCAGCTGGAATTGTACTCCTCAGCTCTAGGTCTACTGAATTCTTCTGAGTTTTCATTCATTTCCATATTACTGAACAACTAGATGAACTGTAAAGAAAGGTTCACTCATCCCAAGTATTTACCCCACCAAGTAGTGATGAACGTGACACACACTTGTTGCATAGCAACTACAATGTCAAGGTACTGTGTTGCTAGGTCCTGTGGGAGACACAAAAAAAAGGGTGACTTGCCTTCAAGGGGTTTTTATGGACAGATGGTTAGAAGGAGTCTAAGTGGTGGTCTAGCGATTTTGTAATGCATCAAAGGTGTTGCAAACTGAATAAATTAGTGAACAAAATATAGAGTTGAATTTGGAGTGTATTTGATGTTTTTTGATAGTCCATGGGGAAAAAATCGCAATCCTAAATGAAGAGACAAGGCTTACATTTGGAATTATCCTGGTCCAGGCCTAATGGTATATATTAGTATTAACTACATAGCATGCCTCCCTGGAGAATTTCAAATTCATAATTTCCTTTTGATTTGTTTTAAATTTGTTTTCAGAACTATGGCCTGTGGTCACTTAATCACCAACCCTGGTTCGGTAAGTGGTATGTTTTCTATATCATTATTAAAGCTCTACCTCCATGGTGGTGTGCTATAGGCCGTAAACGTTTCTGGAAAAACAACTAGTAGTGTGGGAAGTCAACTTTGAACAATTCACTCAACCTCTCTGGCCTCAATTTCCTTATTTGTGAAGAGGAGGAAATCCAGATTATCTTTGAGGGTGTACTTAAAATAAAAATCTGTGGAACCAAATGCATTTTTGGTTCTTTCTCTATTTTTTAAGCATCTGTCTGGCCTATGTAACCCAAAGAAGGTCTCTGCTCTGTGGTTACTTTTGAGGGCTATCTTGCCAAGTGGTACTTATATTTCCAAAAAGACATTAGCAGAAGCTCAATGAAGTGATCTGGAAATAATTTAAAATGCAGTGATTTTTAGCACTGGAAGATTTGCCATTTGTCATTGGGTCTTTTCAATGCAAGCAGGAGTGTTAGACTAATGTTAAAACATCATTCTCCAGCCATAAAGTTTCAGCAGTAAACAATGTCAGGTTGCTGACACACTGGAGAGAACTGGGTTTAAGGTGAATACATTATCTATATGAAAAGCAGGGCATGCTGTGAATCCAGCACAAGGAACTGGGCAGACAGTTCCTCTTCATGAAAAGCCATTTTCTAGACCTCCAGACACCTTCTGGAAAGTGTTCAGTGCCTCCTCACTGAGTCTTAGGGGGACTGGGATAACAGTCTCGTAGTTTATTCCAGCATAATGGAATCCGACTCATTACTGCAGCTTCTCCACAGCTGCAGGGGACACCATGCAGGTTCCTATGAAGCTGATGAATATAGCTTTAATTGCCAATGCCGTGCCAATACATTTTAATTAATGTTTCAACAATATAATTAAGTTTTGAATTTGCACACTCTTATAGCCATAGTAGTTTGCTGAGCTGAAGAAATGAATACCAATATTAATGAACCTATTAATTGAAACAGCATGCAGAGTAAAGATCCCGTTACTTAAACACTATCATTGTCACTTGTACAATAATTTAAAAATATTAATTGAAATAAATTAAGAGCCTAATGTATTCAAGAGAAGGGATTTTATTTTTTTCAAGTAGACCATAAGACTTGGCAACCACCAACCCCTCAATATTCTGACATTTCTCTCCCAGATATGCTCCCATCGATGAGCTCATCCCTTCCCTCTTTGGAAGGCTGCTTTTAACTTTGTCTTGTTTCATACTTTGCACTTATAAGAGAGCAATTAATCTAATTTTTGTGTGGCAAAAAGAAAAACTGTCTAAACAGCAATATGATTCTGCCTGCTCTGCAGAGATATTTTAGGTCTTTCTCTCTGGGATTCTGAGTGACTTGTGGAGCATGTGGTCTGGTGAATATTAAACAGTGACATGATGCTGTGCTGTAAGACACTGGCTTTCTATAAGGCAATAGACCTACCTGTTGCCTGGATGTAGACATTTCAGCTTGGAATTTCTAACACCTGCATAAAGATAGCCAGTGTGACAGCAGTGTCAGCATTAGGAAGTCTGGTGAAAAGATTAGTATACGACCTACACTAAAGATAAGCCGAAACAGCTATCCCCAAATGACTCTCAAGAAATCAATACTGATCTTTACTAACATGATGGAGAAGGGAGCAAACATGCTTAAACAAGTGCTTAAAGCGTGCTTATAAAACAAAACTTTCATATGGAAGAGTAGCCTTATGTTGAAATGTGAAAGTTCACTTTGGGTTTATGTTTGTTTCTGCCTGGCTTACACTTGAATGGAAGATATAAAACAAGCTCACACCGAAGTTTTCTAATTAAGGGACTAATTTTTATGGCTGAGAATGTACAGTAGGCTGCATTGAGGAGAGAAAAATCCATTCATCTTTCAAGGGGGGATGCTTTATTGAGTTTGTAATATAATTGTTGGTTTTGTATTATAACCATAGAATTTACTTTCAAGGGTTTTCTAGATTTTTTTTGCCAAATGTCAACTTTAAAAATGTCAATTTTTAAGAAGACAAACATAAATTATTAAATGTAAGCAGACATTCTATCTGGATATTTGATCTATTTAAATTGTTTATGATGGACATAATTTTTCAGTGTTAAATATTTTTCAAAAAGTGGAAAAATTGCCAACCACAAAACCAAAACCCTGACTTACACACTTATTAAAAGTCATAGTAATTAAATATTGTTTTCCTTAGTTTATCCTACCGATGTCTACATCTTTATAAATTTAATTCAGTTCAACAAATAATTTTTAGGCATCTATCTAGTGAGGGCATTTGCTTAAATGCAGTGATGGGGCTTTATTTTTCCCCTTTAAAAGAACATAAGAGAATATAATTTGTAACATAAATTCCAAAGTCTCTCTAGAGCTATAGATAATTATGAGATTCACTGTTTTTCATTTCCACTTCCCTAACTTGGAATGCAAACCACTAAGGTGATAACTGAGGGTACAGAGTGACGGAGTTCATGGTCTCAAACTATGGTGGTAGGAAGTAAAATTGAATTGGTACATCTACTCAACCAGAATTTTGTTTTTGGGAATCAACTCTAAATATATATATTTGTGGCTTTATGAAGCAGAAGCAGGGGAGGATTCTAAGGTGTACAGAAGGCAAATGTAGTTGGAAGTAGAGTCTTCATGACAGTACACTTGTGCCCTGGAGGGAGTTCTTTTCTATATTTCATCACCATACTGTTTCCAAGTTTGCACTGGATGTATAACACCTCCACTTCTGAACCAAGACAGGGCAAGAAAGTAGTGGAAGAGGAGATAAGAAGAATAAGCTAAATAAGGAAGGACTGGCTTATAAATGATACTCTCGGTGAGTAGAAATACCGAATGGATTGCATTGATGGTGGTAATGGGGACGCTGTTAACTTAATAGAAATAAAATGAGTGAAGTCTGAAAGTATGGAGGTCTGGGTTACCAAGAGCTCTGGAAGAATAGACAAAATAAGGAGGGGAAAACTACCGAATGGTATGCCATTCTGACATACTCTGATGACATAAATAAGGAGATTTAAATGCACAGTTGGAGTCAAGTGTAAAAGCGTACTTTCAGCCTATGTGCTTTGTGAGAACTTTCCGATGCTGCTGGCGTTTCTTCTCCCACTGGCTTTGGTCAAGTCATGTAACAAACGATGTATTTGCTCATCAACATCGCCTTGCCTGTTCTACTCATTAACATCACTGCCTAGACAGAGCCTCAGACTGTGAAATATGGAAACTCACTTTTGCCCTTCAAAATATGGAAACTACTGCTGCCCTGGGCTGCATGAATCGCTCTACCATTCCTAGTATCACCCAACAGGTATGGGCCTCCGGATAGAGGTATGCAACAACAAGTAAACACAAGATTACCTATTAGAAGGTGCTTCACCTTAGGATAGTCATTTATTAAATGGCCATTCCAAGGCAATATTAACTTCACTGAGGAGTCAGTAATGAAAAATACACCTCCAAAGGTAAATAATTTATTTTTTGAAAATTTTATATGCAAAGCCATATTTTCTTTGTTTCGAGTGTGGTTTCTCAACCTTGGTGCTATTGACATTTTGGAGTAAATAATTCTTTTGAGGGGTGTCTGTCCTGTGCACTGTAAGATGTTTGGCAGCATCCCTGGACTCCATCCGCTTGATACCAGTAGCACTCCCTACTCCCAGCCGTGACAACTAAAAATATGTTTGTAGACATTTCCAAATGTTCCCTGGGGAACAAAATCCCTCCTAGTTGAGAACCACTGATTTAGAGTATTAAAAATACAAAAGGATAATATCACTATACATACTGTCAATATTTTATTTTCTGAAGTAAGTCATACTGAAAGAGAGCTTTGGTCAGTAAAAGTATAAAATCTGAGCTTTAGTAATGGTACACTTTTTAAGGCACAGAGAACTTCAAAACATTCATTTCATATTGAATGTATAAATACCCACATGTGAGAGCCCATATCGATTCAGTTTGAGTATGTCTGCCTTGTGGATCTTTAAAACCTTTCCAGCCTGGGTTATTTTCCCAAGCTTTCTTTATAATTACACCAGGGAAAGAGTTACCTGGCATTAATCAAAACCAGACAGTGGACAATGACAAAGAGCTAGCATGAAGAAATATTTCTCTTAGAAATTCCTGGAGGGAAAACAAAAATTGATTAGGGAAAAAGTTCACTGAGTTTTGTTGAAAGGTGAAAAAGATTGAAAACAAGTAGGGACACACAAAAGCAATTATTTTTTACATGGTTTATCTAGGGATAGCAAATGTTTAAGCCAACAGAAAGATAAAATAGCTGTTTCAAATTCAGCATCAAAGGTAGTCAGAAAATATGATCTACTGAAAGGTATAAAAATCCTTTAAGGAACTGTGTAGAGCAAAATGGTTAAATACAGAGTGAAATCTCGAAAAGTAAAACCTGAACTGAATCATCTTAATGGTAGCATAAAGGTTTCACGCCTCCAGGCTCTGTATGTAAGCAACCTTTCCTTTCAGCATTATTTCTAGAATGCTCTTTGACTTTCTAATGCCTTTAAAAATAAATTTAATAGAACTTTTAAAGTATTTTTCTTCATTCCTAAGGATTTCACAATCTTTTTAGTCCAGTGTTTTTTATTTGCTATGATAATTCTTTGCTAACTTTTTTATGTTTTGCCTATCCGAGTATTCTAGGGGTCAAATATCTGGAGAAGATTTTACAATTCCTATGGAAACATTTTACACATCATTTGAGCCATTGCTTTTGTTATAAATCAAGGAAAATGGCTAAATAACCATTTTATGTTGCTTGAAATAGGGATAAACATAAACTAATATTAAAAATTATCTTCCTCTCTTTTAAAAGTAACTTTATAAATAATTAGAAAACATTCATTTACAGAATGGCTTTTATATGGAAACCTTCCAAGAATGGAACACTAGGCAAAACTAAAAGTACACTTTAAAGTTCTTCATTTTTGTCTGCCTCTGGGACATACAGAAATCTGAGACTGACCTACACCTCTTGTGAATTCAGCGGTTCTCAAACTTACCTTGCAATCACAAAGAGTACACAACTGACTCCCAAGCAGGCTAAGAGCACATACATCCAAATATCTGGAGACAGGGGGTTGAGGAAGGAGAAAACGCCTGGATTGGTACCATTGGGCTTCCGGTAGAGAATGCTGATGCCTAGGGTCATGAAGGGTTTGGAGAAGTCAATGACTTTCTCCCGCACGTAGGTGATGGTAAGAGGAGCCACTGCCAGGTCAGCCCTCTGCAAAAGCAAGTCCAAAATTGTCATCTTAGTCTAGTTTCTTTGCAAATGTCTGAACTTTTCCTGGGTACTCCTGATTCTTATTCCTAATTCTAAATTCTTCTCACTCGTGAAACTCCCGTGATGATTGATTCTAATACAAAAACAGTCTATTTACACAGTTACGTTTATGAAACAGTATCAACAAAGAGAAACCAGAAAGTATAAAATACACACATACGTACACAAACATATATAAATCATTCTGGAACTAAACGAAGACAAAAATGCAGGAGGATGTCTTTAAAAAGGACATGTGAGAAAAAGAAGGAATGAGCAACTTGGTTGTACTATTAATTGACATGATGAGATTTTGCTCTGAGCTGGAAACTTTAAAATTCTTTTTTTTTTTTTTTTTTTTTTTTTGAGACGGAGTCTTGCTCTGACGCCCAGGCTGGAGTGCAGTGGCGCTATCTCGGCTCACTGCAAGCTCCGCCTCCCGGGTTCCCGCCATTCTCCTGCCTCAGCCTCCCGAGTAACTGGGACTATAGGCGCCGCCACCACGCCCGGCTAATTTTTTGTATTTTTAGTAGACATGGGGTTTCACCGTGTTAACCAGGATGGTCTCGATCTCCTGACCTTGTGATCTGCCCGCCTCGGCCTCCCAAAGTGTAAAATTCTTAGTTTAAGAATCACTCAAGTTTATGTTCAGTATGAAAGAAGGACCCACATGATATGATTTGGCTCTGTGTCCCCACCCAAATCTCACCTTGAATTGTAATAATCCCGATGTGTCAAGGGTGGGACCAGGTGGAAGTAATTTGATCATGGGGTAATGGGATCTGGTGATTATGAGTGAGTCTCATGAGAGCTGATGGTTTTATAAGTGTCTAGCATCTCCCCTGCTTTCACTCATTCTCTCACCTGCTACCCTGTGATGAGGTGTCTTCTGCCGTGATTATAAGTTTCCTGAGGCCTCTCCAGCCATGAGGAACTGTGTCAATTAAATCTCTTTCCTTTATAAATTACCCAGTCTCAGGCAGTTCTTTATAGCAGTGTAAAAACAAACTAATGCACCATATATTTTTATCATTAATTTTTATCTTTACTTTCCCTTCTGAGTAAGCAAACTTCATTTCTAGGTTGTTTTCTTTGCTTCTTAAAAAAATTGTTATGATTCAAGAAAAGGAAACATTTCTTCTGTCATCGTTTTTTCCTTTCTTACTTTCTCTTATGCATATTTTCAGATATGTTAGAAATGCTTTTACTTACGTGATCTATGAGTTCCTTAACCATCCCGTTCCACTCCCCTTTGTCATTCTGGGCCCCGTATTTGCCATCCGGAACTAGTTTAACATCATAAATGAAACCCAGGATGTTTGACAATTCTTTCAACAGGTCCAGGCAATAACCTTCAAATCTGTCATTTCCATATAGAGGCTTATCAGATTTCCTGTACATAACATAGGGTTCTTCCTAAATGAAACAAACCAAATATGAAAACCCTATTATAATGAAAGGAAGAATTTATCCCATCAGCAGCTCAAAGATGTGAAATATTTGGTAATGATTTTGAAGAGCTGAGAGTACTGATGTCATTCAGTCCTCTGCCTGCCTTTGTCCTCTATAAATTCAGAACACTTCCTATATTATAGTTTCTTTCCCTTCTGCCTCTTTTGGTGGGAGCTTTTCCTTCCTCTGTGGAGGGTGTGGCTGTGCAGGAATGGTGTGATGGATACATAGTCACATTTAAACGTTGGGTCTGAGAAGAAGGAAGGTGCAGAGGGCAATAGGGGCCCAGAAGCCTGGCCACCTACTGTGCCAATACCCAAGCTTTTTTTGTATGACCCCTCACCCTTCTGGCTTTTTTTTTTTTTTTTTTTTTTGACGGAATCTCGCTCTATCGCCCAGGCTAGAGTGCGGTGGGGAGATCTCAGCTCACTGCAAGCTCCGCCTCCCGTGTTCACGCCATGCTCCTTTCTCAGCCTCCTGAGTAGCTGGTACTACAGGCATCCGCCACCACACCTGGCTAATTTTCTGTATTTTTTCATTAGAGATAGGGTTTCACCATGTTAGCCCGGGATGGTCTCGATCTTCTGACCTCATCCTGCCTCGGCCTCACGAAGTGCTGGGATTACAGGTGTGCGCCACCAAACCTGGCCCTGGCTTTTAACTAAGAACCTCAAGACAGGGAAATCTATATCACCAAGTATTTCCTTTCATTCTTTGCACCTCCTATCTATGACTATTCTCATTTCTTCATCTAAATTTCACCTCAATTTCACTATTCACTTATGATTTATATATTTTGATTGGTTTCCTTCAGGGTAGCCTATTCCAAAGGCCATTTCTATGTCTTGTTTTATCATCTTTCCCATCTTCTTTTTTCAAATCACCTCAAATCTCACATCTGGTCATTTTCTGCTTATACACGTACATCATCAGTCCCCTCTCCTATAAATAATGGACATTTCCCTACTACTATGCATCTATAACTTGTTAATTCTCATTTGACTGAATGAATGCTCATTTTGTTTCATAAAATTATAATAGTAGCTATAGTGCTGACATATTCTTTATGTTTAGGTTTATCCTCAAACTGACAGTGGGGTCATTCAAACACAGTAGAAAACCCTGTGTTTTCATAAGACAGGCAGAAAGTAGTAATCAGAAGAGCAAAACAGTTTTTACTTTGGATGAACAATTCTCACAAGTTAATAATATCAACAATAAATTGATTTGACATTGTGGACTGGTGTATGGCAGGATGTTGGCAAATAAGGATTTCAGGGAGGGCTACCATGCCCAACTCCCTGGAGAAAGGAAAAAGCAGAAAATAAGCAACTGGTAGCTGTACAGTGGCTGGATGGGGCATGACCAGGGCTCTAATAGGAGGCAGGACTTTCCAAGAACAGTTAGTAAAGGAGCTGTGTACAGAAGTGTGAGCAGAGCAAAGGGAGCCGAGGGAAGTAGGGGTCTGATTTGGCAGCAAGTCATAGACACACATGCAACAGACTCTTTGAGAAACCTGCACCACCCAGAACTGAGGCAGGAGGGAGGAAAGAATACTCCTGAAGCTCAGTGCAGCTAGACCCTAGAAACAGTGCAACTGACGGGCAGAAGCTACGGTTGTATAAAGTCAGAGGTTCTGAAAAAACTAATAGCAGTTGGGAGGGAACAGGAGAAGAGCTTCTGTTACCTCTCTTCCCCCACTTCCTTAGTCTCTTGCTAGGGTCTCCACATGGTTGAAATTAACCAACAGCCAAAGAGCAAGGGAGACCAAATGGGAAGGGACAGACAGCGGGGCTGAGTAGGACTGACAATGGATTGGAGGTGGGAGAGCTTCAGAACAATGTTGGAAGCTTGTAATTCAATCTTATTGTAAGTACATACAAACACAGGCTTTTAGTGTTCCAGTTAAAAATAGACATTTGCAGATAGAAGTGTTGGCATGAAAAAGACAGTTGAGGAATACTTCAAAGCCTAAGGCAGGAGTCTGGATAAGACACCCTCAATTCCATGAATTCAACTTACCAGAATGGTGGTGACAATGAGTGTTCGATTGGCCAGTGAATCAGTAATATTGCTGGACTTGTCTTTGTTGCTGTCCGTCATGTTAAGCCCACTGTTGGAATTCCAAATCCCAATCTACACAGAACACAGTACATCAGAGGCTGCTGGCTGTCAGTGTGGCATTTACACCAAAGAGAGGACCCTTCTCTACCAGGAATGGGCACAAAAGCTCACAGTTTGGGACACCAGGGCATCACAGTGGAAGCTACTAAACGTGGGGAAATGAAACAATGGAGGAATTAATGTGTAGACAAAATAGGATGTATCTGTGCTACTGGGGACGGGGTAGGTGGAGGTCTTTTTCTTTTTAATTTAGTAAGATCATTGTTCTTTTTTAAATTAAAAATATTTAAAAATTCTTAATATCAGATTTTTCTTCCTATATATATTTGTTGAGTATCTACTTATGTGCTGGGCACTGCTCTAGGCATCTGAGGACTAAACAATGAATAAAAATATACAAGAGTTTCTTCCCTTGTGGAGCTTACATTCTACTTATATAAACCTTAGGCTGCCAAAGTAGTATCATTAGTTTATTTAAAATTTATGAATAATGGGGTGAAGGAGCAGGGTGAATGATGGAGAGACCAGGCATCTAAAAGGGAAAGATAGTGGGGTGTCGAGGCTCATGCCTATAATCCCAGTGCTTTGGAAGGCCAAGGTGGGAGACCAGGTGTTCAAGACCAGCCTGGGCAACAGAGTGAGACCTGATCTATACAAAAAATCAAAAAAAAAAAAAAAAAATAGCCAGACATGATGGCACACGCCTGCAGTCTCAGCTACTCAGGAGGCTGAGATGGGAGGATGGCTTGGGTCCAGGAAGTCAGGACTGCAGTGAGCCGTGATTGCACCACGGCACTTCAGCCTGGGTGACAGAGCGAGACACTGAAAAAAACCAAAGTAATTTTTTCTTTAAAAAGGGAAAGAAAAATGGAAGAAAGCGTGTCATGTGCATGAGAAGTAGACTAAGTTCAGGGCCTATCTTCTTTGAGGAGGCAAAGCTAGGCAAAGAGTGCCTCTTGTGAGCCCTAGCAAGACTCTGTTCATCTCTCTGTCACAGCAGCTATCATCTTCTGTTATGATTTATCGTTTACCTCTCTTGTCTGTCCACTTGGTCATGAACTACTTCAGTGAGGGTGCTCACTTTTACTGCCCACTGATTTTACTGTCACAAAACCAACCACGGCAACTGGCATTCAGTAAAGACCATTACTCTTTTTTAAAAATAATGATCCATAATTTTCTCCAGTGGCCAAGTCACTCCTGGGTTGTGAGGCTGTGTAGAAGTATATGGATTCATTCAGCCTCTGTGGGAACCCAGAAGAAGAGCCTTTGGGATTTTGAGCTATTTTTCCGAATCTTTCTTTAGGCATTTACTGCCAGCCTCACGTGGTGGCCTGCAAGTATGTTTTAGAGCCAGGAAGACCTCGTTGCTGTGTGTCCTTGAATGAGATTCTAATCTTTCTGAGCTTCAGTCGATTCTTTACCTATAAAGTATTTCACAGGAATAATGAGAAGATCAAATAATCAGATGATGTATGTGGAAGAGTTGGTGTGTGTTGTTAAGAGCTGCACATGTAGTAACAAGAAAGGACATTGAAACGACTGCCTCAGTCATTTCTTCAATCTTACCCTGTCAAGAAGGAATTTGGACTCATTTTTTTAAAAAATTCAGAATCTGATAAAGTAAAAGAGCTATGACAAGTGGAGGAAGTTTAGGAACATGAACACTTGGACCTGCTCTGAGATGGACAGCGTGGAGCTATGCTTGGGAAGACAGATGGGAGTGTTAGGCTCCATCCTCCTTTGCTTTTCTATTTCTTGACTCTGATGTCCTGCCTATATTTAGCAGCTGGAAATTCATCTAGCTTGACAAGTATCCCTTTTAGAGACATCAATGCTTTGAGGAAGTTTCAAGGACTATTACACGTTCACACATCAGTGTAAACTATTTTAATTTCAGTTTTATTTCCTGTACTTAATGAGGGTTAGTTGATTGGAGAAATAAAGAGACAGGTGTAGGTAAATGGGGGAATGGGATAGTTTTTGCATTTGAAAATATTGTGATCCTGTCTGAAAAGAGGTGTTTGTTGGGTTCTAGGCTATACTCTTAATAACCATTCAACATTTCCAGGATCTAATGTGATGAGTATCACCTAGAATACACATTATACATCTTTTGGTTGAATAATCTTTAGCTTTATTAATTTGGCTTTAGATTCAGGAAAAGTAGACAGCATTTTCTTCTTTTTCTTCTCAACCTCCATCCCTTCTTCTGAGGCAGGGACCCTTGCTTCTAGGAAATGTAACTCAGGCTAAATATACCTGTCTATTGATTTTCATCCAAGGCTGTGCTTTAGGTTGTGAACAATTGATTCCTAGCTCCATGAAGAGTGTGTGTAAATTGGGTCCTGATTGTATTTCTAATTAAACCTTCACTTAGACACTGAGGAGAAGGGAATCTAATTTTTAATTAAGTATTGAAGGGTGGAGAAAATAACTGTTTTTAGCCACTTGATTAAGTGATAGGATTCATTCTCTTTAAATCTTATTTCTATTAATGTCAAGTATGTGTGTGTTGGAAGGAACTACCATAATATTTGAAAACGACAGTGTTCAATGGCCTAGCAATATCACTGTCTTGTAAAATAAAACTTGAACTTGTAGACAAATACACCCCACAGCTTGATGTCTGGTTTTTCTTTCTTTCGCCATCTGCACTAAAAGTGCAGAAGCTAAGAATCATTGCTGCTGTCGACCTGGTCAACTAAGTCCCAAGTTTAAACTTTCCTCCTTAAAATGAGAAAACAGTGACCATTTTTTTCCCTTATTGTCTCTACAGAGGGACCTACAGAAGATCCTTTAAATGTAGACCAGAAGAGTATCAAAATATAGTAAAGGTCAGGCGATTCCTGGGAAATGTACAGTATATATATGCAATTTGAATGACTTCAGTCTTCTCTTTCCAAACTTGTAATCAGCAAAACAGAATTGTGTGTGTGTGTGCGTGCATGCACATGTGTGCAACTGTGTCTTTTAAACCCAAGTAGTCAAGTGGCTTTATCTGTTACTTGAAATAAATGAATATGTTGTCAGGAAACGGATGTCTCCCTTTAAAGAAGTCACATCTCATGATTCATGTGTGCTGGAGAGAGGGGTGAAGTTAAGAAGATGCCTGGACATTTGACATTTCAGTCCTGTTCTACGACCTAGGAGGAGTGCCTGCAGGGGGTGGAACCTCAGTTTTCAAACTTCATAGTGAAAGCAGATAGCAGTCATTTACCAGTGAGAAGTAATGGAGGTTAGATCAGTTACTTGTGGGGAGGAGCACTCTGTATCTAAATTATCTGGCCCTGATTCATTTCACTTTGTAAGCTGGCACAAGGGAGCAGCCATGTGTTATCTAGGACAACTGAGAAAAGCATCTGAAAATGAGTGCCCAAATGACATTAGGCAAACATTTTTAAAAAAGCAATGCAATAAAAATGGCGTTCAGAGAGTGACTAGTATCTGTCTTCTAAACCTAGACAGTGATTCATGTAAACTCAACATCTAAAATGGCTGAGGGAAATAATCAGGTATCTGGGGAAAAGATAAAGGTATGTGTATTTCCTGTATTACGAGCCTTATATCACACATCTTTTAGTGAGGGATGTTGTAAAGATTGCTACCTCCCTCTTTTGGAAAGAATTTTGGGTGAATAATACTATTCTAAAATAAGTCAGAGTACTGAGGAAAGCTTTTGGAATTTAAACATGATGAAGGTGAATTTTTGTTTTAGTTGGAGACTTATCTGGAGAAAGTGTGATGTGTTTGTTGGGTCTGACTGTGTCGCCTGTGCTAGAACTCAGGTTACCGTGAATTTTTGACGAGGAGTCATAACACGAAACAGCACACCACGGTATATACAACTTATAATATAGGAACATGATGGGCTACCAGGAAGGAAGAGGCATGAAGGCATGGAGGATCAAGACCAGAAAGTTACATCCCTGGGGAGCGTGTGTGGCTCTTGCAGCTTAGTGACAAATAGAGGACATCCCCCCTCCCCTGTATATAATTTCAAAGCTTGGATTCCATTCCCTAGGATATTTGTATTAGATTAATTCAAAGTGCCCAGAGTCTCAAGATGGATTAGTGTAATAGGTTTTTTTTTTTTTCTTTTTCTGGGTGCCAGTTAGGTTCATCTATTTACCAGTGAAATTGTAGTGAGGAAACCAGATCACCTTCTACGTGCACTTAGTAGCCTTGTTCACTGAAGATTAAAACAAGGCTTTTAAACCTGTGCTTTGAAAACTTAAAAAGAAAAAAATTCTGAATTCATCACTGAGTACTACTAAGAGGGAGACAAGGTTTTTGGCTACAGGGAGAAACTTGTGTACACTTTCTGTGACATAGCTGATAATTTGAAAGATGAAAATGAACCTGACAAGTTGAACAACCTGAAGCAATTTAAGATCTATTCATCAGTCTATAGATCTTTTTTTACCAAGTAGTTTTACAGAGACAGAGACAGAGAGGGAAGGAAGGAGAGGAGGAAGAGAAAGAGAAAGAGGAGACGAAAGAAAATGTTTGCTTATCAGGGGGACCTTTCTCTGATTCAAAAGTTTTTAATGTCTCATATTTCCTTATATAAAGCTATGCACATTCATTGGCAACATGGCACTGTATAATAAACTATAAAATAGTGGGTGTTATAATTCACAAGATAATCTCATTTCCTTTCCAAGGTCCCTAATGTTTGTGTCCTCTTTAGAACTGTGGCTCTAAAACAAATTGCAAGACAGTATGCTCTGATGAAGATATCGTGCAAAACAAAAGATAGCTCATGAGAAAAGGAAATTTCTGAAAATGGTTCATATTTTGTGGTGGTGACATTGGAGGAGATGTCCTAGCCTTCTGACGCTGTAGCCTATTTGACTAGTCTCATGGATCAAATTTATTGTTGTTTTTATCCCCCTTAGGGAAAATATTTAGTGATTTGAGAAGGAATATAAGTAGGTCAGTGTCTCCTTCTGTTACAGTTACCTGCTTTCAATCCTAACAGGGACTGATCCTGCCTGGGAGAAACAAAAATAATCTTGGGGCAAATATTTAATCCATCATTATTTAATCCATTGCAAACCTGTTTTCAATTCACAGGTGATGTTGTTGAGAGAGAGCATATTCAATCACTCCTCCTCTCTCTTTACATGAAACATCCCCTCTAAACTGCCATTGGAGAGCTACAGGTCTGATAACATTGGAGGGGCGCAGGCTTTTCCAGTGACATTCCCCATCCCACCCCCAGGTTTCCTGCAGGTGTTGTCAGAGTACAAACCTTCTTCCACACTTTATACAAGTGTTTAGACACTTCGCCAGCAGCCTTGGTTTTCAGAGAGAAAAATAAAATAAAAATAGCACTTAATTAAAATGGAGAGTGAAACCCAGAAGGAATCATGGTGTGTGAGTGCTTAGAGTGTTACAGTTCCCACCCATTGTTTGGAATTTGCATCTTAATATAAAGCCTGACAATAGGAACAGCAAAGAGATGAATCAAGACTTGTGTTTCACAGAAGTTACCTGGTGGTAAGACTCAATTTTTACTTTTCCTTTTGCACACCAAAAAATGCTTTAAAGTGCTTTTCAATGTATACAGGTATGCTGCAGTGTTAAGGGTCTTCAGTGTTCCTTAAGAAGACCCTTTTAAGGCATGGGTAACTAAAACTAATCAATCAACCAGCAAATCAATCAATACACACACACACACACACACACACACACACACAATTCCTAACCGTAAGAAGAAGTATGCTTTATGACTTATTCTTTGATTATAGGTTTCCAGGCAGTAGAAATTTGAGTGAAAGTGAGAATGGGATTTTTCTAATAATTTTCCCTATTGAATCCAAGAAAGGCTGACATAAAAAGATTGGGCATTTCCTCCCTCCGCTCCTGAGAGAGACGTGTTGGCTTCCCTCATTGCCTTAAGGCCCAATCAGCCTTCTCAGGAATTGAGCTCAAGACACCTGAAGAAAGAAAAGTTATTGCAAACAATGAAGAGATAAGAAACAAACACAAAACACTTTCATCTAATTTGATTTTGCCTTTGATGGAAAAACACCAATGCAATGTGCATAATATTACAGTGTGTAGGTAACTGTGAAAGCGTAACAATAGCTCTCCATCTATTTCATCATTCACCTAGCCAAAAAGATGTTTCCTTAACAGCTTTTCTTCCCCCTGCAGTGCTATACATAAGAGGAGAACAGAGTGGGGAAAAGACTCGTGCTTCAAGAAGCAGACATTTTCTTTAAACAATTATAGGCTTTTAGATCATAACAAGTATTTTTTTTCATTTGTTCCCTCCAGCCAGCATCCCACACACACCATTGTGGAGGCTGGCTGGATGTCTTGTGCTCTATCAGAGCATGTTAGACCAACAGAGGGGCAAATCAGAGTGAAGAGGAAGCCAGAAGATGGGAGAGGCATTTTTGAAGTGAGAAACCTGCATGTATAATGTGTACCCTCAAAACTGCAAACTGAATTATTTTCCTCAAACATTTCACACCACTGGGTCACCTTCTAAGACATTCGGCCTAAATGATCTTTGTTCCCATTAATGTTTTTTTGAGAGGGAGGGGTAGTTAGCACCTGCAAAAAAATGTGTCCCAGTTAACAAACACAAGAAAACAGAAATGAAACCCTTACCTCATTTACAAAAAATCAACCCACCTAATCTAATTAAGCAAGCAATCGATTGTTCCCAAAGCCACTCTTATATTAAGCACACTGTCTTATTCACTATAGTGGGAAAAAAATGTCAGATTAGAGAGTTTTCTGTTGAGGTGATTGTTTTGGGGGTTTCAATTGTTTTTCTCTAAGATTCTCAGTGTAAAATCTTCAGATTCTAAGTGTTAATTCCAACGTATAGTCATGAATATTAAAATTGGCATAATAAAATATACTGAGAAGCCAAATTCTTTTATCATTATTATTTAACCAAATAGTTTACATTGGTATTACTCTAAATAATCACTAAAGTAGAGCTTTAAACATGGAGAGATTCAGAATTACAACTAAAATAATCCTAAAATGAGAACCCAACATTAAAATACAGTTTTTTGATGTTTGTCCTAAAATTAAGAATGCAAAGTTAATTTGCTCCAGTACATCTCTTCTATCCTACTTTATTCTGCCTGTCACCAATCTCAAAATGGAATGAAATGTGCAATTAAAATTAATTTCTAGGTAACCCTTGGATGCCATTCCATCGATAAACCATTGACAGCTTCTGCTTTTCCAAGTCTAAACTCAATTTGTTAAAAGCTTTAAGACATGGGCCTAATGACACCCAACTCTAGGGTTATATATGTAATAATATAAACACACTTGCTATATAAACGAAGCACAATATAAACACTAGTTAGCATTGCTATTACTAAGACATGAAATTTAAGAATCTAGCACATCAACTTCTATCCGCAGATAAAAGAGATAAAAAAACTGGATGTAAAATAACATGCTGAGAGAATCACTTCATCATTCACTTACTTGTCTGTGCAATTTAGTAAAAATGCTTGAGCAATACTCATTTGTTATTTTATTTTTTTATTATTAAGGAGGTTACCTTTTCAGTTCCTTCTTCTTTGAGACTAATAATGTCCAGATCAAAATCCTTCCTCAAGCCATTGGTTTTATTAAAGGTGATATGCCCAGTCAAGCCATCCCACCGAGCCTGTGGACAAGAAGAAATGTGGCTGTTACTGTTAAACATTTATCCTAATTCCTGAGACCATCAAAATTACAATACCTCAAATTCATCACAGTATCCAATTATTTGGCTTCATCGTGCTGTTATAAACCATTGCACTGGTTCAGCAACATGATAGCAGAACACGTCGTCATTTTATTAGCACTCATTTATTCTGTCAATTCTAACACCCTAAGCCAGTCAAACCTGTCATCGTGGCTACCTAAATGGACAGTATGGAGAAAATTGCTGTAAAATAGTCTGCACATGGAATACACAAAGTCTGACAAATCACAATATTCTGTTTTCCAAGGTCAATTCAAATTCCTTTTGAGATATGGCTGAGTGGAAGTGAGTCCTTGCTTTTTCTTTCTCTGTGAAAAGAATATAGACCAATACAGTCCAATGATGTATTGCAGTTTTCAGACTGTTGATGACTTGGCGTGTTTGCCTCATTTGGGCATTGTAATTTCCCGTGACTGCTGTAGCAAATAATCACAAACGTGGGTGCTCAAAACAACAGAAATTTATTTTCTCAAGGCTGTGGAGGCCTGAAATCCAAAATCAGTATGACTGGCTGGAATGAAAGCGTCAGTAGGACCGAGCTGTCTCTGGAGGCTCGAGGGAAGACCCTATTCTTTGCTTCCTTCTGCTTCTGGTAGCTTCTGGCACTCCTCCTTCTCTTGTGGTTCCATCACTCCAACCTCTGCCTCAGTGATCACATTTCCTCCTCCCCTTCTGTCTGCATAAAAGCTCCCTCTGCGAGGTGGAGGTTGTAGTGAGCTAACATCCTTCCACTGCACTCCAGGAGCCTGGGCCACAGAGCGAGACTCTGTCTCAAACAAACAAACAAACAAAACAGGTCGGGCGCAGTGGCTCGCACCTGTAATCCCAGCACTTTGGGAGGCCAAGGCAGGCGGATCACCTGAAGTTAGGAGATTGAGACCATCCTAGCTAGCACGGTGAAACCACGTCTCTACTAAAAATACAAAAAATTAGCCAGGCATGGTGGCGCGTGCTTGTAATCCCAGCTACTTGGGAGGCTGAGGCAGGAGAATCACTTGAATCCGGGGGGCAGAGGTTGCAGTGAGCTGAGATCATGCCGTTGCACTCCAGCCTGATGACAGAGCGAAACTCTATCTTAAAAAGACAAAGAAAAAGAAAAAGAAAAACAAAAAAAAAAACTCGTTCTGCTTCTCTCTTATAAAGACACTTGTGATTGTATTTAGAACTCACCTGGATAATCTCCCCATCTCAAAAATTCTTAATTTAATCACTATGCAAAGGCCTTTTTGCTACATAAGGTAACATTTACGGGTTCCAGGGATGAGGACATGGGTATCTTTTGAGGGAGCTGCTCTTCTGCCTACCCTACACATCAACATCATTTCAAATAATAAAAAATTCACAATAGTCTGCCTTTCCCAGAACTCACATTGGATATCTCTGGTGGTTTTATTAAATATAAAGTGGTGGCCCTTGGGAGAGTCTTCAGCTTCAATCATTAGGTGATTTTTGGCAACCTTGTTTATTTGAGTTTCACTTACAACTGGAATAAAGGAAAACTCAGATATTTGTATCCACTTAGCTGTTTTTCTCCCTCTTGACTTTACCAGATTCATTAGACATGCATAAAATGGGAAGATCCTGAAGAATTACACTATTTGCAGTTATTTGAGCCATGTGTATCTGTTGAATGTATTTACCCATTTGGTCAAGAGGCAGAGCAATGCAGTGGAAAGAACATTGAATTTTCCATACCTCTGGAGCTGAATATCTGCAGTGTAACTTCAGGCCAACTCATTAATTTCTCAACTCATAATCCCATCTAAAAGTGGTGAAATATCTTTGATTGGGAGTCAAGAAGTCAAGTTTAGTCTTTAAGCCACTATCAAGTTTTGTGGCCTTGGTTGAGTCATTTTGTCCTGTTTTTAGGCCACAGAGGAATGCACATTAAGGGAAGATTTTGCATAAAATGAGCTTTAGCTCTGGATTTCTACAATCATAGGCAAGATACCATAGAGGGGTTTAATGAAGTTGAAAGTGATTCATTAAGAACCTGTGATCTGCAAGCTGGGCTACATAAAACATAAAACACAGTTGTTATACTCAGATTTTAATGTAAAACATATTACTATCTGGCTGGGGAGAAAAGACTACAGAATTTGGTTCAATTATGTTTTCACTATTAATTCATTTGGAAAATATTCATTTATTGAGTATCTTCTCTGTGCAGGGAAGTGTGATGAGAATACAGCACCTAGAAGTTTACAGTTTAGTAGGAACAAACACATTAATGGATTTCCATAAAGCACTTTAGGTTTGAGGATAAAGATTTGCATAGAATATTGAAGAATGAAGTATGGAGAAGAAGCACTTATCCCAACTGCAGGGAAGGAGTCAGCAAAGCATTCCTGAAAGCAAGAATGCTTGAGCTCACAGAGGATAAGCCCACCAAGCAAAGATTCATGGGCTGCGTAAAAACATGAAATAAAGAATACATTGTAAGTTTGCCATAAGACTCTAATGCAAAGTAAGAACTGATACAAAGTGAGCCTAGCAAGGCCAGTAGTCTGTTTATAAAGGTGTTATGAAGCATGCTAGTTTGCTTGGACATTGCTCAGTAGACTTTTGGGGAATCATGGAGGTGTTTTAAACGTGTGTTGCCATGGTCAGATGTGCATTACAGGGAGATGATTTGATATCTCTTTTATAATTGAGGAGAATGACTTGGAGAAGGTCAATATTGTAAGCAGCGTGTTGGTTAGCGGGTAGTTCTCATAGAACAAAATGTATACAATCATATTCATATGCCCAAATATGAACATAGGGATAGCACAATTCCTCCAGTTCCCTGTCCCACCAACTTGCACACGTTTAAATATTAATGAAAATAGTTCCACAGCAGGATAGACAGAATTTCATAAAGAGCACGTTAATAAATCAGCTTAAATGTAAGGAACCAGTATAATTGGCCAAAACATATTTTCTGGCTACCATTCAGTTAGAATAGATATTATGATAAAAGTATATTTTATCACTTAATAGTGCTGGAAGTTAAATCAATGGTAGGGAATGATATGTGGACAAGAAAAGCTCCAACTTTTTCCTCTAAGCCATCTCGATGGCAAACTAGGTGCTGCCTAAGTGCTATAACACATTAAAAAAAAATGCTTCTTCAGATCCTAGTACCTAGTCTCTAGAGTTTGTTGCCAAGGAAGACCATAATATCAAACGCTGGCAGTAGCCTTAAAAATGACTGGCATATCTTTATGGTCAGTAGTAACACCTGTTATCACACTGGCTGAGATCCAGGTAATCAAGTCTCTGTAATGGGACAAAAACTATCACCAATCAACACAAGTAGGAGGTGTCCTCTTGTGTCTATTTAGGTACACCTCTTGGCATTGCATTCTCCTTTTTCTCCCCGTCACACCTCTATTCTAGTTTTTGTACTCTGGTCATTCCTTCTTATTTTGCAAGCCAAAGGCTGGCTTTGTGGATTGATGGGTTAAATGAGAGCCATGAAATAAGCTGCTGTGTTAGACTTACAACATCTGCCTGAGAGCTGAGAACAATTTGTGTAACGCTTTGGTTGAGTGGAAATCTCTACTGTGTTGGGGGTTTGAATTAAGTCAGTTTTCAGGCCCCTTTTTCATGCCTCTAAACAATGTGGTCTTCCAACTGTCCTCCTGACCTGTTTGAAAGGAGGTAGTTATCTTCATTAAATTCTACAGGATTTTCAGAAAGCTTTTTTCTAAAGGCAACTTCTCCTTTATGGGGCTCATGTTGTGAGTCAATTTGGTACATTGTCCAGAGTTTACAGGGGTCTCTGAAAATGTGCAGAATTGGTAGCATTTATCTCTTAGTGGAGGATATAGCTTATAGCGGGGTCTTAAAACCCAGTTCAGAAATCCAATTTCGTTCCCTAACTGTGCCTGTTGTGTCCCTTTGTTTGGGTTCCCTTGCATTGATTTTATTCTTGAACTTAGTGTTCCAATCACTGGTGCAGAGTAATTCCCACTTCTTGCTTTTTCTCCTGCTCATCGAAGTGGCAAAAAAGTTCCCTTTTCATGTTTTAACAATGCTTCCTTCTCTGCCTCAAATATCTACAAAGACTCCCTATGTGATTCTTCACTGAAAGAAAGTATCTTTGACCTTCAACGTCAAATTTCCCTTACTGGCACAATTGCCCATGTCTTCCTGCCTCTCATCCCCTAGATTAGCTGCATTTCTGTATATGTTCTTTGTTTTTCTGCAAACTCATTGTTGATAAGCATTTATTCATCATCAATACACTATTGATTAGGGTGAATATGCAATGACTACTTCCAGGATGTGATGAATAGGATCCATGAGGAATTCATTTTTCTGGGACAGGGCTGAAGCATATACAATTTAGATAATGATATATAATTATATTATCCATAATTACCATGTGCTTGCCTTATGGAGAAGCATTTGCAGAGGGGACAATTATAGTATACTTAAAACAGAAAACAATACTTAAACTATTGTCCCTATTTTAGGAAAGAGCTTTATTTTCTACCCTGCATCAGACCTTCATGTCTACAACTGCATAATAGCAACTAAATCAAATACTGTGAGTTTTCCTCATTCGTCTTACTGGACACACTCTCTGATAATCAAGAGACAGGAATCAAGAGCTAAAAGAAAAAAAATAAAAGGTTTCATGAATATCTTATTTGTATATTCTTTCTCAAGATATTTGTTGTCCAAATTAAATGCATACATTTTATTATTAGGGAAGTAAGGGACTAGCACCTGACTCTGGGCTCTTATGATAATCAACTCTTAATGTCATTAGTTAAAATGATTTCTTTTACTTATTTATTTTTTTCTGAAAGGGAATTTTTTTTCTTCAACTTTGATGTTAAGTTCAGGGGTACATGTGCGGATATGCAGGTTTGTTACACAGGTAAATGTGTTTCATGGTGTTTTGCTGCACAGATCTTCCCATCACC